TACCACATTTAAAAATATTAAAAAAAAAACAGAAATGGAAACTGACAAGAAGTTTTGTTTTTGTTTTTGTTTCTGTTTTGGTCGGGGGAGGGTTGTTTTTCAACTTAATCTTGTTCAAAAAAAAAAAGAGAGTAGAAATCCAGAAGGATGAAAGTCCCAGAGAGGATCTAGAAGAAACGGGTTGGAGAAACTGGGATACTGGCACCCCTATAGGCACCTCAAACCTGCTGGTTTAAAACTGAATTAATCATTAAGACTATATTTTTTTTTTAAGAGAGAGAGAGGAGAGAGAGAGAGAGAGAGAGAGAGAGAGAGAGAGAGAGAATTTTGATATTTATTTTTTAGTTTTTGGCAGACACATCTTTGTTTGTATGTGGTGCTGAGGATCGAACCTGGGTCGCATGCATGCCAGGCAAGTGCGCTACTGCTTGAGCCACATCCCCAGCCCAAGACTATACTTTCATTTCCATAGTTCATTGCTAGAGACGTTTCTCTGAACAGGTAGAGCACCAGAAACCACAAGGAATAAGTACAGTGTTGTCACCTGAGCATGAAACACGGCTCTTGGTGTTGCTTTGCTGTAACTGCCATTTGTTATTAGGAGGTTAAGAGGAAGAAGGTATCATCTGAGTAGTTTCTGGTTTCTTTCTTTCTTTCTTTTTAATTTATTTTCAGAGGACTTTCTTTTACTTAATAATTTATTTTATATATTTATATGCAGTGCTGAGAACCAAACCCAGTGCCTCACACATGCTAGGCAAGTGTGTACTACCACTGAGCCACAGCCCTGGTCCAGTTTCTGGTTTCTTGATATATTTTAGCTTTCTTCCTTCTGACTTTTTTACCAGTGTTAATTTTTCTGTAAACTTGTACTATGGTGTCTTTCTTCCTTCCTTTCTTTTTTTTTTTTTCTTTCTACACTGGAGACTGAACCCAGGTCGGGGCTCTATCACTGAGCCACATCCCCAGCCCTTTGAGATACGGTCTTGCTACATTGCTTGGAGCCTTGCTAAATTGCCCAGGCTGGCTTCAAACTTATGATCCTCCTGTGTATCTAGGATTACAGGTTTGTGCCACTGTATACTGCAAACTGGGATTATTTTTCAGTTTATTATTATTTTTTAATTTTTCTGATTTTTTAAAAATATTTTTTCTTAGTTGTAGAGGGACACAATACCTTCATATTATTTATTTTCATGTAGTGCTGAAGATGGAACCCAGTGCCTCACACATGCTAGGCAAGCCCTTCGGTTTATCCATCCAAAGGCCACAATAGTGATCTTGTTGGTCCTGTGATGGCCACTTGTTTGGAAGTCTATTGGTCAGTGAAGGGATGTAAAGCCTTAGCCACTGGGTAGAAGTTCCCATGTGGGATCCAGGCAGGGTTTGATTAAAGATAGGGGAGCCAATATCTTTATTAAAGTTAGCTGGGCATGGGGCTGGGGTTGTGTCTCAGTGGTAGAGCACTTGCCTAGCATGTTTGAGGCACTGGGTTCAATCCCTGGCACCACATAAAAAAATAAATAAAATAAAGGTATTGTGTCAATCTGCAAATAAAAAATTTAAAAAAATAGATGGGCAGGGCTGGGGATGTGGCTCAAGTGGTAGCGCGCTCGCCTGGCATACATGCGGCCTGGGTTCGATCCTCAGTACCACATACAAACAAAGATGTTGTGTCTGCCGAAAACTAAATCATAAATATTTAAAAAAAAAATAGCTGGGCATAATAGTGCATGCCTATAATCCCATCGACTCAGGAGGCTGAGGCAGGAGATCACAAGTTTAAAGCCATTCTCAGCAGTTTAGTGAGGCCTTAAGCAACTCAGTGAGATCCTGTCTCTGGTAAAATATAAAAAGGGCTGGGGATGTGGCTTAGTGGTAAAGGGCCCCTGTGTTAAATTCCCAGTACCGAAATAAAGAAAGAAAGAAAAATAAAATACAAGAATAAATCTGATTATAGATGGCAGAAAAAAAAAATCGAGATTTGAAAAAAAGCAGTGTCTAGATCTTTGAGTCAGCCAGAAATGATGAGTGGAAAGTTAGGTGGGTTAGTCCAGATTGGGTAGTGAGAGTAAAAAACAAAACTGAATTCATTATTTACTTCTTTCATTAAGCCTGTTCCTCATCCCATATCCTCTATCCTTTTTTTTGGTGGGGGGATGCTGGGATTGGAAACTGGGGCCTCACACATAGCATGCTAAGCATGTTCTCTACCACTGAGTTGTGTGTGTGTGCATGCACGCTGATTCAGAGTAGCAGCGTCCATGTAGAGACCAGAGATTCATCCGAGTTCTTCCATCTTCCTAACCTCTTCATCCAGTGGCTCACCCTAAATAAGTTTTATATATATATAAATTTTTTTTTTTTTTTTTTGGTGGTGGTGCTGGGGATGGAATCCAGGGCCTTTTGCATGCAAGGCAAGCCCTCTACCAACTGAGCTATATTCCTAGCCCTTATTTATATTTTTAATATTTTTATTTTTATGGGCACCAGGGGTTTGGACCCAGGGTACTTAACCACTGAGCCTCATTACCAGCCCTTTTATTTTTTATTTTGAAACAGGGTCTCACTAAGTTGCTTAGGGCCTTGCTAAATTGCTGAGGCTGGCTTTGAACTTGTGATCCTCCTGCCTCAGCCTCCTGAGCTGCTGGGATTTATAGACATGTGCCACCATGCCTAGCTATTTAACTTATTTTTATTTATTCATTTTTTACCATACCCGGGATTAAACCCAGTGGTGCTCTACTACTGAGCTACATCCCCAGCCCTTTCTATTTTTATTTTGAGACAGAGTCTTGCTAAGTTGACCAGGCTGACCTCAAACTTTCCTCCTCCTGCCTCATCCTCCCATGTCACTGGGATTACAGGAGTGTACTGCCACTTCTGGCTAAATAAATCCTATTTGACTTCTTAGTGACCTCTGAAGCCCGATGTTGTTCTCCATTTCCACACCACTGTCCTAACCAGAACTGGCTGCATCATTTGTGGGGCTTAGTGCAAAAAAAAAGCAAGGTCCCTTCCTCACAAAGTATCAATAATTTTGAGACAGTGACTGAAGAACATTAAACCGAGCACCAGACTCTTCTTTTTTTTTTTTTTTTTTTTTTTAATACTGGGGATTGAACCTGGGGGCACTTAACCACTGAGCCATATCTCTAGTCCTATTTTGTATTTTATTTAGAGACAGGGTCTTGCTGAGTTGCTTAGTGCCTCACTTTTGCTGATACTGGCTTTGAACTTACAATCCTCCTGCCTCAGCCTCCAGAGCCACTGGGATTATAAATTCACCACTGCACCCAGCAGCTCCAGACCCTTCTAAGTGTGGGGCAATGACACTGGTGGCCTGGTCCTAACACAAGTGCTTTCTACCTCTATCTGAGCTGGTGCCTCTTTACTGATCTCTCTCTCTCACTCCTGGCCTGCATGCCTTCACTTTGTACAGCTATGTGAGGGCAAATCTCTCTAAAGACTTCCAAAACTCCAACTCCTTAGCATGATAAGCAGGACCTTCTTGACCCCTCCCTTGCTCACCTCTCTAGGCTCTTCCCTGTTGTCCCACCCTCACACTCCTGGTGGCTTCTGCCTGACACTGTTCTATGCATGCTGTTCCTTTTGTTTGGACTGTCCTATCTATCATCCAAGAACACTGTTCATCATTCAGAACAACTCAGGCCAGTAGTGGTACCACACTCCTGTAATCCCAACGACACGGGAGACTGAAGCAGGAGAAAGGAGAGTTTGAGGTCAGTCTGGGCAACTTACTGAGACCCTGGCTCAAAATTTTAAAATAAATAAATAAAACATGCTGGAGATGTAGCTCAGATGCTCTTGCATTCAATCCTCAGTACTGCAACAAACAAACATCGCTGTGCATGGTGGTGCGTGCAGCGGTTCATGAGGTTGGAAGACTAGCTTCAGCAAATTAACGAGGCCCCAAGCATTTATGGAGACCCTATCTCAAGACAAAAAATAAAAAAAAAAAATAAAAAGCACTGGGGATGTGACTCAGTGGTTAAGCACCCCCGGGTTCAATCCTGGGTACCAAAACAAAACAGCCAGAAAATGGTACATACTTGTAGGAGGCTGAGGCACGAGGATCAGTTGAGCCCAGGAGTTTGAGGCCAGCTATCTAGAAATCAACCAAAAACAGATGGCACATCAGATTTGGTCCATAGGCCACAATTCACTAACCTCTGATTTAAGGAACTAAATGAGCCTTTATACATTTACATATCTTTGTCCACAGCTAGAATACGCATGAGGCCTTGGATCATTCCTTCTAATGTCCCCAGTATCTTGCTCAAAGTCTGGTGCACAGTAGATACTCAATAGAGATTTGTGGAGTGGACAGATGAATGAATGAATGATTAAACAGGAGCTTGGGTGCCTATGGGAAATGAAGCCATAATCCCAGATGCCCCATTTTCCATCTTTTTTACCCAACTCCATCTCTCACATGTGCTAGGGTATCACATGGGACCCTCTGACCTGAACCACCTCCAAATCCTGGACAGAAGACAAGCAGTGCTACCCCTAAACAAGCCCCAGGCTTCTGGGGAGCCCAGAGTTGCTCCTGAAAACTGGCCTCATTTTTGGAGTGGCCCAGATGACGATGCTGCCTCCAGGTCCAACCGTTCTCTGCAAGGATCTTCTAAGTGTCCTACCAGACAAAGAGAGGAAGTAAGCAGAGTGCACGTCTAAGGAAGGAGAAAGGAAAGAGTGAAACAACTCTGGAGTAAAAAATGGGGAATTTCAACAGAGCAGCCCAAATTTCACTAGCTAAAGCAAAATGAGTAGGACCAACCGGAGGTGGGGAAGGAAGTGGCTGAGGTTGGGTAACTGGGGAGTTTCTTATTCTCTTAGTCTGGTATAATAGGAGACAGGAGAACAAGCTACCTCCTACTTGAAACCTGACTTTGCACTGCTTTGGGGGTGAGTTGGACTTCTTCCCTTGGAGAGAGAATCAAAGACTGGGAGACTCAGGTGAGCACTTTTTTTGGGGGGTGTATGTTTACTTTGTTAGACTTCTCATTTCTCACATGGTAACTCATAGATAAAACTGAGGTCTGTGAGTACGTGTAACAGAGGGGAGCAGAGGACACTCCAGCAGCCTCTTAAGTACAAAGATGGGACTCCTGAGTAGTCTTTGGGAATGGGGGAGGAATTAGGAAGGTGGAGGGTGCTGGGTTTACTGAGAGCTTCTGGATTTATGTGGGGGCAGACAAAGACCTGAGACATTTAGAAAAGAGATGTCTTTGATAAGAACTTGGGGAAAATATTTGGGATTGGGAAAGGACTAAGCCTAAGGGAGAGTTGGGGACCTTGAGATGAAGAGGAATGAGAATGGTTTGGAGGATGGTGAATTACAGTGAGCTCCAGGAGCACACTCCAGTGGCCAGGGCTCAGAGCTGCTCAAGAGACCTAAGTCAAAGCCTGGCATGTTGGCACCTGCCTATAATCCCAGTGATTTGGGAGGCTGAGGCAGGAGGATCACAAATTCAAAGCCAGCCTCAGCAAACACGAGGCACTAAGCAACTCAGTGAGACCCTGTCTCTAAACAAAATACAAAATAGGGCTGGGGATGTGGCTCAGTGGTTGAATGCCCCTGAGTTCAATACCCTATACCCACCTCACCTCACCAGCAAAAAAGGGCTGGGGATGTGGTCCAGTGGTTAAGCGCCCTTGGGCTCAATCCCTGGTACCAAAGAGAGAGAGAGAGAGAGAGAGAGAGAGAGAGAGAGAGAGAGAGAGAGAGAGAGATCAATCTAGTGCAAAGGCAGGTTCTGACTCGGGTTTCCTCTTGCACTCCCTTCCCCTTCAGCCTCCATGATGAGGAACACCTCTGAAGCCAACTTCTCCTGCTACCATCAGTCTGTGCTGGGCTATAATTACTTTGCAGTTACCTGGGGGGTGGTGGTGGCTGTGACCGGCACTGTGGGCAATGTGCTCACCCTGCTGGCCTTGGCCATCCAACCCAAGCTCCGGACCCGCTTCAACCTGCTCATCGCCAACCTCACCCTGGCGGACCTGCTCTACTGCACCCTCCTCCAGCCCTTCTCCGTGGACACCTACCTCCACCTGCGCTGGCGCACTGGCGCTACCTTCTGTAGGATATTTGGACTCCTCCTTTTTGTTTCCAACTCTGTCTCCATCCTCACCCTCTGTCTCATTGCACTGGGACGCTACCTCCTGATTGCCCACCCGAAGTTCTTTCCCCAGGTTTTCAGCACCAAGGGGGTAGCGCTAGCACTGGTGGGCACCTGGGTTGTGGGTGTGGCCAGCTTTGCACCCCTCTGGCCCGTTTACGTCTTGGTACCTGTGGTCTGTACCTGCAGCTTTGACCGCATCCGAGGCCGGCCTTACACCACCATCCTCATGGGCATCTACTTTGTGCTGGGGCTCAGCAGCGTGGGCATCTTCTATTGCCTCGTCCACCGCGAGGTGAGGCGAGCAGCCCAAGCGCTCACCCAGTATAAGCTGAGCATCCGCAGCACCCATGTGGCGGGGACCAGTGAGGTCATTCCTGGTCGCTTCCAGGAGCTTGACAGTGGGCTGGCATCCAGAGGGCTCAGTGAAGGGATCTCATCTGAGCCAGTCAGTGCTGCCACTACCCAGACCCTGGAAGAGGGCTCATCAGAAGTGGGGGACCAGAACAACAGCAAGGTAGCTAAGCAGTTGGCAGAGAAAAACCCTCCAGAAGCTTCTTCCAAGGCCGGGCCAACTAAAGGAACCCCAAGAGCTCAGGACTCTCCGTCAGAGTTTGGGAAGGTGACCCGGATGTGTTTTGCCGTGTTCCTCTGCTTTGCCCTGAGCTACATCCCCTTCTTGCTGCTCAACATCCTGGACGCCAGGGTCCAGGCCCCCCGGGTGGTCCACATGCTGGCGGCCAACCTCACTTGGCTCAATGGCTGCATCAACCCAGTGCTCTATGCAGCCATGAATCGACAGTTCCGCCAAGCCTACGGCACCCTCTTAAGACGAGGGCCCCAGAGTTTCCGTCGGTTCCATTAGAAATGGGTCCCCAGCAACCAGAATCCCAAATGGTCTCTGGAGCCAAAGTGGCCAGCTGACATGAGAACAAGTGACGGTCAGACCTGTGGGCATTTTTACAGTCCGTCCCCAAACCACGGTTCTCCATCCCTTGATGAATGATTCAGCCCTAGGCTGCCCAAGGAGCACCATTAATTATTAATAGGTGAATTGCATGTTTTGATTTGTTTGTGGTGCTGGGGATCAAACCCAGGGCCTTGTGCATGCAAGGCAAGCACTCTATCAACTGAGCTGTATACCCAGCCCCGAACCCTTTTTACTTTTTATCTTGAGACAGGGTCTTGCTAGGTTGCAGAAGCTAGCCCCAGACTTGGGGTCTTCCTGCCTCAGTCTTCCATATTGCTGGGATAACAGGTGTGTGCCACCATGCTCGGCTAGATGACATGCTTTGAATGCTTGGTTGTACTCTCTGAGCAAGAAAGAGAGAGGCCAGGGTTGGAGCTGGAACCTAATAAGTGAGAATGTGGGGACCTATGTCAGAATAAGGATAAAGAACACCTGGCTAGGGACAGAGCCTTCATCTGAGGGGTGTCCCACTCATAGAACACGGGAAGTAGTTTAGAAGAATGAGCTTGCAGGGCTTCGGCTCAGTGGTAGAGCGCTTGCCTAGCCCCTGTGAGGCAGTGGGTTCCATCCTCAGCACCACATACAAATAAATAAATAAAATAAGGTTAAAAAGAAAGGGTTAGCTTGCCTTTTTTTGCTTAACTTCCCAGAAATGATCTCTGCCCCTAACAACTGCTGCCAGCATCCCCCATCTCCACAAACAGGTTTATTCTGCTCAAAAAAGTTTGGTGATCCAGCTTGGACACCCACTCCAGTGAACCCAGCTGCCCGCCCTGCCCTGTGCAAAGGGAAGAGTCACTGATGAGGAGCCCTGGCTCTGGGAAATGGAACCGAGCTTTGCTAAGGCAAAAACAGGCTTCAGCCTCCCCCCCCCCCAGTAGGGTCTCACTCTTTGCAGCTAATTCACCCTGTGGCAGGCCATTTACCCCATTATCCTGGCTTCTGAAACAGAGCAGAAACCAAGAGGGCTCTGGGGCCAGAATAGCGGGGAGACCATACCAGCCCTTTCCTCCAGCCGGACCTACACATCCTGTGGCTGTGGGCATGCTCACGCACAGCGTGAGAACACTTGCGGCCACCAGGTGACGCTGGTTCTCTGTGTTTTCCTTTCTGGCTTTCTGCTTAAAGACAGAAAAAAAAAAAAAAAAAAAAATACCAGCAGAACTGCAAGTCCAGTCCAGAGGTCAGAGACCCAGGGATCTGCACCCGCCCTTTCTCAAAAAAAAAAAAAAAAAAATACAGGAAGAAAAAAGAATTGAGACCTTTTAATTTTTCATGAGCTATTCATTATCTCTGGTGGGCAGCGTGGGAGAGCAGGGTGAGCACTGTGGTGGCACTGGGGGTGGCATATGAGGTCAGGCTGGCACGAATGCGGAGGCTGAGAATTGTCCCCTTCCTAACCACAAACCCGCGTGGGTTGAGAGCACAAGGGAAGTCTGGAGAGATTCAGGCAAGGACACAAAGAACCAGAGTCCAGGTGGACAGATGGAAACCCTCACATGCCACACACCTCTAGGGCCCAGGAATCCTGTTCCTAATTTGGAACCTGCATTTCCTGGTGTCCTCCTTCCACAGAGATCATCAACAGTCAGGTTGATGCTACTGAGGCAGGTGAACTGCAGGACCAATGAAGAACATCAGCTTGGGAGTGCAGAAGAGGGTTCCACTCAAGGCTTGCTGGGAATCAGCTCCATGAACTTGAACAGATCTCTGGACCACTCTGGGCCTTAGGTTTTATGATCTGCATAAAGGGGAGGGGACTCTTCCTTGAACCTACTGCAGTTCTAAATCCTGCAAATAAATTGTTTTATGTAATCCTCACAAAATTCCTGTGAAATATTTATTATTATACACATGAGAAGACTGAAGCATAAACAAGTTAATTTTGTGCAAGGTCAAAGGGCTGGTAAGTGATCTGACCATGATTTGAGGGCAGTCATGTTACCAGCACACATGGCTAACCACTACAGAACAGCTGCCTTGCTAAAACTAGGATCAAGTGACCAGATATGCCTAAAAGTCTGTCCTACTCGGACCTTCTAAGATTCTGAAAGTTGATGACTCTCTGAAGGGTTGTAAAAGGGTTTACTTTTCATATTCCTTGAAGGCAATTCAAAAGCTTCCTCAAAGTAAAAGGGAGCAGCAATAGGGACTAAGGTTAGACCGCAGGAAGGACTTCCCAATTAGCAGTCACTGGAAAAATGAATCAGGTGACGTTTTTAGGGGTAAAAATGTGAAAGAAGCTCTGGAGTCCGAGACCGTACAGAGGACAGGTATTAGCAAGAAGGCAACCCTCTCCTTTCTCACCCTTAGCAGCCCTAGACACCCACCCCTGGCCCGGTAAGGGCTGGATAAGGGGAAAGAAGCAGAAGAAAAGCAAGGCTTTCTTCAGGTGCTGTCTCCCCTGCGGATGTGCGTGGCGCGTGTCCCTGCACTAGGTCCCCCGTGAGTCGGGGCAAGTGTATACGTCTGGGAGCCCTGCGTGCTCCTGTTTGTGAGGGTGTCTGTCTCTGTCTCTTTATCTCTGTCAGCCTCCCGCCCGAGCCCAGCTCTATCGCTGACTCTGACGCGGCTTCTCTTTGTCTCGCTCCATCTGCCCGTCCCTCCCGCAGGCTGCACGCACGCTCTTTCCCGGCTTTCGCCTCCGCTCCCTGCTCGCGCCGCCCCCGCCCGCGCCCGAGCCCGAGCCCGAGCCCGCGCCCGCGCCTCCGCCTCCGCCTCCCGCCTCCCTCCCGCTCTTGCTCTAGCGCACACTCTCTCTCTTTCGCTGTCTCTTACAGGCAGATTTATGGTCAGCCCAGGGCCTTTCATTGGCCAAGCGCTGACAGGACTTGATTTAACGCCGTCTCTCATTGGCTGAGCTTGACAGGCCGATTTACGAGTCTCTCTACCATTGGCCAAACCGTATTGGCCCTGATTTATGGTTCGGTGGCTGCGCGGGCGGGGGGGGGCGCAGCTGGGGAGTGAGGAGGCCCCTCCCCGCGCCGCCGAGTTCCTCCCGCTCTACCCGCTCGCTCTCCTCGCCTCCCCCGCTCCTGAGGAGCAGGGCTCCCTCTACCTGTTCCTCCAGCCCCCTCCTTGCCCGTCCGTCCGCTGGGAGGGGAACGTGGGGCAGGGTGGCGGTGGGAACGGGAGCGGAGGGCCGGGTCTGAGGGGTCCGGTAGGGGCAGGGTGGGGACACTGAAGTCTAGAGCGAAGAGGAAACTGAGGGGGCCCCCAAGGTGACAGAGGAAGGTTGAGGGGCGGTGGCCCTGGGAGAGCGGGGAAGGCCTGACCGGAGAGGGGGCGCGTCTGAGGGACAAGTGGGCGGAAGCGAAGACAGACAGCGGGCACCGAGGGGCACTTCAGACCTCACTGTCCCAGTTGGACGAGAGACAGATTTCCTTTTCAGACAATGGCTGCAGGGGAAAGGCTTAGAGGAGGGAGAGACAGGGATAGGCGAGGAAGGATCACTGAAAGGTAATAGGAAAGAGAAGCCATGGGGAGGCCGGAAGTAAGGTCGACTTTTTTTGGGGGGCGGGGAGGCGTGAGAAACGACTGATGCCCAGAGGAAGTTTTGAGAGAGAGGCTCCCACGCTCCCATTGGCTTCTGCATGGGGACAAGTGAAGCGCCTCCCCAGGAGATGTTCTGTTTTCTCCAGGCTGCAGTGGGCTCCCCATTCCATGTGCCTCACTCCTCCCCCTCGCTCACCTCCCCAGTTAAATTTATGAGTTCAGGATTGGCCTTCAGGAATTAGGAATATTTATGCTTCTTTGAGATTGAGGTTTGGAGGGTGATAAATAGGGGTCCATGGGTGTGGGGGGGGTGCAGCTGGGGGCTCCTGTGTTTAACCTGGCTACTTTCCCAATGCCCCCACCCACCATTCCTTCTCATCCTGAGCCAGAGAAGGAGCACTCCTGGGGAATGGGTTTTGGGTTTCGCTATCAGGAAGGAGGCTTGATTATCCTGGAGAGCTCCCCTATCCCACTCCCACCCCCACCTCAGAGGTCTGCAGAGCTTTGCAGCAGAAAGGATTGAAGGCAGATAGGGAAAGAACTTTTTAAGCATCCTGGCATTCATAGAGCCCCTGGAGTGAAGTTACAGCATTTCTGCAGAAAATAGGGAGAAGTCTGTTTCCCCTCTGTTCCCCTAAACTCAGTTGCCTAGGAATAGGGGAGAAGGGCCAGGAAATTCAAAGGCAGGTTTCTCTAACATGTCACTTCCCTCACAGGGAGAGGAAGATTTGAAACCTCCCACCCCCCAGAGACCACAGCCTAGATCCCTGGGAAAGGAGGTTAGGAATGTGGGCTCTGAAGCTCCCAGGAGCTTCAGGCCCCAACCTGTCCACCCCCACTGCTGGCTGCGAATTAAAAACAGCCAGTAGTTCTGGACACCCCTTGCCCTGGGCCTCCAGGAAATGAGGGAGGGAGGAAGGATCTGCATCTGGACCCACATGCCTTGGAGAGTTCTTTTCCAAAAGCCGCATCTGTGACCCCTAATCCAGTAAGAATGCTTATTCTGGGCCTGGGGAGATAGTGAACAAAGGGATGGGCCCATGATATAAGGGAGGTTTAAGGAGACTAAAGAGCTGGGGAGGAGTTGCCCTGCCCCCACCATCCCCTCCCTCTACTCTGGCCTTAGCAAGGATGGTCACAGTGCACATGTGAACACAGGAGACTGCTGCCTGGAGTGGGAGGAGGGAGGGAGAGAAGGGTCTAGACTGGCCCTTTAAGAGCCACTTAGGGTCAGAAAGCTTGGGCTACAGAGAGGGGAAGGAGCTGATGTCAGAAGACGGATGGGCAGCAAGATGGGGATTGATGCTAATGGGGGAGTTAAAGCTAAGTACCCAGACACTCAGAGGGCAGAACTGCAGATCTGTCTTCCTTATGCTCACCCCCCTCCCAAACCAAGGCTGTAAATCTGCCTCTTCAATTGGGGGAAGGGGAGTAAGGAAAAAAGAGGCTCTTTTCTCCCTTTTCCTGTTTTTTTTTTTTTTTTCTTTATGCAGCCCCCTAGATCTTCTCCCAATCTCTCATCCCAATCCATGATCTCTTCTCACTAAAATATCCAACTTTTGGCTTTTTATAAAAAATTGAGAGAATGGCCTGGCATGGTGGCACATACCTGAAATTCCAGCCACTGGGGAAGCTGAGGCAGGAGGATCTCAAGTTCAAAGCCAGCCTCAGCAATTTAGGGACACTCTGTATCATAATAAAAAATAAGCTGAGTGTGGTGGTGCATGCTTGTACTCTCAGTTAAATTTGACTTGGGAGGCTGAGGCAGGAAGATTCCAAGTTCAAGGTCAGCCTTAGCAACTTAGCAAGACCCTGTCTCAAAATAAAAAAATAAAAAGGGCTGGGGATGTGACTTAGTGGTCAAATGTCCCTGGGTTCAATCCAGGGTTTAATTTTTTTTTTTTTTTTTTTTTTTTAAGAGAATGGTTTCAGCTTGCAGAGGAATGTGAGGAAATTTGTCCTCAACAGAACCCATGTAGGACAGGTTGATGGGATTGTGGTGAGAGACTATAGATTGGAACTTCCTGGTTGCCTCGGTTTCTCTTCTTTTCACCCTATTTTTACCAGGACAGTAGGATGGGGCAGGATGTAGGATGTTTTATGTCAGGCTTGTGAAAGCCCCTGTCACTGAGATTCTAGAGGGATTGGCGCTCAGCCTCCAAGGGCAGTTAGGGAAGTTGTGGGAGCCCTCCACTGAAGATATACGATGTAGTTTCTCAGAAACTACTGGATCATACTGTTCCCTCTTGAGCACCCACCCTATCTGTTGAGTGGAGGTAACTTCAGGCCAGTCATGGATTTGCTGTAAAAGCAGGGTCCCTGGCTGCTCCTTATGCCTCTCAGGAAAGAGATGGGGATTTCAGGGAAAAAGGTCTTAGAGGGGCTAAAGCTGGTAACCCGTGGCCAAATTCTAATTCTTTTTCAGATGGGGCTGTATCTCCCACCCTTCAGGACTGTCACTTCTCTCCCTGTTGGCAGTCTGGGCCTGTTCTGGAGAAGACTCTATGTTAGGGGGCAGCCCCTCTGTATCCCATCTGTTGCAGTATTATACCTGAATTTCTTCCTAGTCCTAGAAACAGTTGGTGCCTGATTGTCTCTGG